ATTCCCAGCCCTCGCCTCGGCGCCAAGCGTCGCAGCCAAGGCCGCCTACGGCGTGGTCCTTCCCGCCGTCTTCGCCACGGCCATGGCGTTCGGCCACACCGGCATCAAGTACATGTACGTCGTCGCCATGCGCGGCCATGAAGTCCACGCACCAGGTTACCGACCGCAGCGTTAAGTCCTGGGGAACCTGGTTTGCCTGCGTCACGCTGTACTGGGTCATCGTCTGGGTCATCTCCAACGCCATCCCCATCTTTGACTCGATCCTCTCCATCTCATCAGCGACGACGATCGCGTGGTTCACCTTTGGGCTCAGCGCCATCTTCTGGCTACACCTGAACCGGGGACAGTATTTCAAGAACTGGAAGAAGGGCCTGCTGACTGTCTTTAACTGCCTGCTCATCCTGCAGTCGCTGTTTATGAACGCTGGCGGCCTGTGGTCCTCAATCACGCAACTCATTGATATTTTCAACAATGACAGCAGTAGCGTGCGGGGAGCGTTCTCCTGTGGCGATAATTCGCAGGTCGTCTGAGCAAATGACGATGGTAGGATGGTTCTGTTGTATATATTCTTTTCGTGACCGTGATCGAAGATCAGATACGTGCTCGTAATTATCAACCATCCACATGTATGTCGATCGTTTGACTCCTTGGCGACTTGGCGATCTGGAAAACCTTGAACACCTTTGAAGCGATCCAATCTCAACTCGATGATTTGAGTCACGCAACTCAGCGATATCCTTCCTTGAAATGAATTGCTTGACCCATACTCAGTTAGTATCTCGGCATTGAGGTCATGGAAACTGCTAGCGTGAGGCGTGTCTATTAGAGCGGAGGGAGTGGATGCTATTCGACCGAAAAGTCGAGACGTTGGACATACCTCCGGTTCCTGAGCCACCACACCGGGATATTATGGAGCTTATGCTCCTCATACTCAGGTCCAAGCATGGCTTGATGAACAAGCAAACAGCAGCTGGCAATGGCAGGGGCAGCCTTCGAAAGATTATTTGTGCCTAAGGAGTTTACGGACTTGGGCACGGAATGTTTGCTCCGCTACTCGGACGTATGTCCGGCAGCCACAAGTCAAGCAGGCTGATCGACTTGAAGTACCCATCGCGGCCCATTAATATCCGTTCTTTGGAGGCTGCGACCGAGTAGCTCTCCAATTACGAAGACTCTGCAGAGGGATGCTCATAGGGATGCGTGGAACATCCAGGGAGATGTAGGTCCGGTTCGTCTCTAACTTCACCTCCTCCAGACTGATGTCATATCGCCGCCTATTAGGCATTCGATGAACAGCGAGGAGATATATAGGTGCTACAACAATCTCCTCTGGTCTGCTGTTCCCAAATCAAGACAGAATCGCGACTAGGAGTGCCTGAAAGGTATTGTGCGTTAGGACGTCCAGCAAGACGAAGTTGCAAGCGAACGAAGGAGACATAATCTGTTCAACACCAGCAACCAACACCATGCCACCAGCTCGCCAAGAAACCACCCGCACTACAGCCACCACAGATACCGATACTCAGCCTGAGAACATCCTAGAAGATGGAGACGTTCTCAGCGCCATTGAAAAGGCGCCCATCCGTCTCAGAGATCGATTGGAACACTTTACTTGGGTATGATAACCACTGTCCAAACCCAAAAGCAATTGCTGACCGCTCCATAGGCCTGGTACTCTGTACCAATGACGACAACGAGTATCAGTCTAATGCTTTCATCCGAGGTTCAGCCCCACACATTTTTTGGGCTCGACGCCATCGCAATCACTATCTATATTTTCGGAATCGTCACATTTCTTTTTGTTACTGGATGCATCACGTACCGATTCATTCGCTGGCGCCATACCTTCCGAGCGTCTATCATCCACCCCACGGAGGGCCTTCACGTGGCAGCCGTTTGGCTGTCTCTGTCCAACATCATACCTGGCATCGCTAGGTGGGGGATTCCCAACACGGGACCGTGGTTGCTTGTCACTTATAATGTCCTGTTCTGGATATACTTCGTCTGCACCTTCATCAGTGCCCTGTTTCATACACACTTCCTCCTACACTCCTTCCCGAACTGCGCCTTGAGGACATGTCACCATCTCTGGGATATGCACATCTTTCCTTCCTCATGTGCGGCAGTATCGCTGCCGCAGGCGCACCGCACCTTTCCCCTGACCAGGCAACACCAATGCTCGTCGGCGGCCTCACGGCTCAGGGTCTCGGCTTCCTCATCTCCCTCTTCATGAACGCGAACTACCATCGGCGTATGATACAGTGGGGCTTCCCGAGCCCCAAGACGAGACCATCTATGTTTATCGCCGTCGGCCCACCGGCATTTACGGCCCTCAGTGTGCTAGGCATGGCCGACGCCTTTCCAGAATCGTATATCAACTACTTCGGTACCGGGCCTTTCAACTCGGTAGAAGGCCAACGCAATCACGAACCAGGTCATGCAGGCCCTGGCGTATGCACGGCCGTCTTTGTGTGGTCCTGTCGTCTGGTTCATGTGCATCGCAGTGTGGGCATGTGCTCTCTTGGCATGAATCGACGTTCGGACTGGGTTGGTTCTCGTTCGTTTTCCCGATCACCGGGTTTGTCATTGCGACGTTGATGCTGGGAGATTCGTTCTACTCATCGGCCATTGAGTGGGTGGGGACTGTTTTGAGTGTCGTTCTTGTTATTGTCTACCTATTCGTCATGGCGCGGGTCGTCATTAGTCTCAAGAACAAGGAATTGATGTGGCCGGGCAAGGACGAAGATGTCTACCAGCATGAGAGGAAGGCTAAAATGATAATGAAGGATTTGGGGCGATGGCGGTCAAAGGACGTCGAAGAGCGGATGTAGAAACATGGGGTTTCTTCTTAAAGATACAGTATACAGAATCTCGCGAACTATACGCGCCCTGTCGAGCTGGTGACACCTCCATCGATAACAATCTTCTGCCCCGTGATATATCTTGACTCATCCGCCGCGAGAAACAGAGCAGCATTGGCCACGTCCCATGCGTCACCCATTTTTTTCATGGGTACCTGCCCTTCGCGCATACTCCTGAAGGCCTGATACCGTTGTTCTTCGGCACCATCCTCCGATTGGCTTTCGCTGCCTGATGCAGCAAACCTCTGCGCGAGGTTCTTCGTGTATGGCGTATCCATCAAGCCCGGGACAACCGTGTTCAGCCTCACGCCCTTGTCCGCATAGAGGACGGCTGTTGTTTTGACAAATTGCATGACAGCCGCTTTCGTCGTGTTGTAGGCTACCTGTGGTTTACCGATATACCTCAGGCCCGCAATGCTCGAAACGCAAACGACAGATCCGGCTTGCTGTTTTTCCATGACAGGCAGCACATGATGGCACGCCAAGTATACACTCTTAAGGTTCAGATCGACCTGTGCGTCCCAGACATCCTCGACCATCGTTGCCGGGCACCCGGGCTGTGACCCGCCGACATTCGCGACCAGGATATCAATGCGGCCATGTTTTGCGATGCAGGCGTCAACGAGTGCCTTGACGGACGCCGAATCTGTGGCGTCAGTGGCAACGATATCGCACATACCGCCTTCTGACTCAATCGTCGTCTTGGTCTTGGTGGTCGACGGCAGCGATCGGTTGCCACCGAAGATGACGGCCCCTTGGCGGGCGAAGAGCACGGCTATCGCGGCGCCGATGCCCCAGCCTTCGTCTCCGGATTGGCCAAGGCCGATGATGAGTGCGACTTTACCGGTGAGGTCGAGCATAATGAATCTTCTTGAGGGGTACGACGTATAATTTAAAATCATGATGTTGCATCTGGGTACTGACGAGGGCTTCGAACGCAACCACTTATGAAAACCGTCGTGAGATCGCCGTGCGGCTCATCCCGTACATACGGAGAAGCCCGCTCCCAAGTTAGCAGCAGCTTTCCCGTCGGCACACCCCCGGTCTCTCTCACGGGCTCTCCCGGATATCCCGCATGACCCGTTTGAGCTTTGCAACGGACTTTCTGGAGTGTTGCGCCTTTCACCGATGCTTCGATGTTGAATGTGTGCAGAAAACAGAACCGTAGGCCTCTTCCGTTCACTCACGGCTTGTTGCGGCCCTTTTCCGCCAATGCGGCACCACACGCAGCGCCAATTCAGAGCGCTCGCAAGATCCACAGCGGCTTTTGCTCGCAGCACATGAACTGTGATCAGCCCGACAGCACAAAAAGACGTCAGCCGCTTCACTCAGACAACCCAGACATCACTCTAGCTGCGCACAACCAGATACCAGACACCATGACCATCATTCACATTGGTACGTAAGATGATCGACTCGACTATCGTTGCGCGCATCCTCATACTAATCAGATCTCAGTCCTTTTCAAGTTCAGGCCGGAGGTCTCCAAGGAGCACAAAGAGGCCTTTATGCACGAGCTGAGACAGCTCCGTTTCCTGTCCTGTGTCAAAGACCAGAACCTCCACGTTGGCAGCCCGTCGCTTACAGATCCCATCGAGAAGAGCAAGGGTTTTGAAATTGCGCTTGTCAGCTATCACCCCGGCCCAGCTGCCTTGGCAGAGTACCAGGCGAGCAAGGAGCACGAGAGGTATGTTTCCCCGCAGCAGTGCTTCCAGCCACACCTATGTCATTGAGAATATGGATGTCTTCGATTCTGACAGAAACAGGGTCACGAGCACGTACCTGTGGCCGTATAAAGAGGATGTTGTGAGGTTTGATTTCGAAATTGGCAACACAACAGAGGAGGAGCGATTGGGGGAGATGATGGCCTACAATGCACTGAAAAGTATTGGCTGCTAGAAGCCATGGATAGTCAACATATTTGAATTTAAGTTCCAATCTTAATCGAATTTTTATCCTGTATTATGAAGCGGTTGGATAAGTAGGGATGAAGTCGTCGAACAAGCTTCGCATCGCCGCATCCAGATCACCAGAATCGCCCAAAAGACTATCCTCCCCAAAAAGTCCTTCTGACGTAAACAGGTCCGAAAAGTTGCTCCCCAGGTCAACATACCCTTGCATGACACTCGTGTCCATAGCCGAGAATGATGTCGCACCGCCAGAGGAGTTGGGAGGTTCTAAAGAGGGCGCTGCGGTCAACGAAGGTGCTTCAACAGATACCCCAGCAAGACTGCCATTTGCCCGCCTCGCCTCGGCTCTTCCGTCGCCCTCTTTGTTTCTCAGCGACGCAGCCAATCCCCGGCCGAGCTCCTCGAGATTGTCGCGACATCGCTTCGCGCCAGCCCAGTGCTCACCAGTGGCGCTGAGAACGTTTAGACCCTTGCTCAACTCGATGAGCAAGGCGTCCGGCTTTGCGGCCCATGTTTTCGCGAGCTCAGATTCTGCCTTGATGCAGTACAAAAAGGTGATGCTGCTGAGAACGATGGAGTAAAAAGATTGCCAACTGTGCAGAAGCTGATTGTTCCTGTACATCTGACTGTACAGACTGAGGCTCTCCAGTGCAGCATCGTGGCAGAGAGTAAGAGACTGTGGCGAGGGGTTTGGTATGGCGGGACTCGGTCGAAGCAACACCATTTTCAGATTCAGATAGCGGGAACGACAGATTTTTGACATGAACCCTGTCGATATGTCTTGATGAGCATCGTCTATGGCTGAGGTGTCTGTAGACCATTGGTCGAGCTGATGCAGCATGTTGGTATGCCACTCGTTGATGTCCACGACAGCGGGATAGGCGTAACGTGGAGCGTCGCGAACGACGCTATTTGCGACGTATTTGATTTCGGAGTTTAGTTTCGTTAGTTTGAAAAGATGAATCGAGAAAGACAATGCCGTAGTGGTGCTCGGCATGTTTCCAAAGCCCTGTCCTCCGGGGACATCGAGGAGGCTGTCGTCAACATCATCTGGAAGCTATCGACAGTCAGAATTTCCTGCTTTTGGCGTTGACTCCTCTACACCTGGAACGTCATACCCGAAGATCACAGGCCTCATCTCGCAGACCAATGGGTCTACCCATCATTGTCGCAATCTGCCTGTCTAGCATCATGACAACCCAGAACATGCGTGTTCTGAGATGTTGTTGCAGCTTGGTGATACCCGAGCTTGTTGTGATGTTGCGTTGCAGTCCGAGATCTAGCACGGCAGCGATGCATTGATAATTCAGATACCAGACATTGAGTCTCATGTTTGGGCAGTGTAGGGTGAAAATGAGGAGCAGCAGGAGGGACTGCAACCCCTGCAGAGAATTGTCGATATTTAGTTTGTCAAAGTACTCAAGTGCTGATAGACAGTAGGATTCCGAAGGGAGCCTGACTTTATGTTGCTGTGAAACAATCGTAGCTCCAAGAGCCAACACCATGAAGATCTGGAATGACGAGTAGCTCCGGCTTATTGCTGGACTGTCGTAGGCTTTCGCGAGGTCTGCCATAAAGGCAGGTCGATGCATGATGGGGTACTGAGGGTGCATCATATCGAAATAAGCATTCGACAGAATAGTCGCTTGTTCGATCGGAGGCAAGGGAAGAGGGCCTTGCAATGACTCAACCAACGCAAGGGGGAGTGCAGAGCCTCGCGACGGCGATAGTCTCCCGGAGTTCAAGGACGTTGCCCCTCGACGACCTGGTGCTAGCATGAGTCTGGCCAGGAAATGACCGCTAGAGGGGCCAATGTATCGAGGATCTTGCGAGCTGTTCAATGAGACCAGTCCAATCTCATGGGACAGCAGACCGGTTGAATGCGCATGTTGCTCCGTAAGTCCTCTCGCTGGTGGATTGGATGGTTGCGTAGCTGGCCCAGCAAGAACCTCAGGAGTCGGTGACAATGCGTCGACACGAATTGTACTGTCTTGACCATCAACATCGTCAAAATAATTTCCCAGTGCTCGGTCTTGGTATAGATCGACATCCGGGCATCGGTCTTTGATTACACTTTCCAACCAGTTAATACGGCTCTTTAGCTTTGAGATCTGACTAGATGGTCTGTTAAAAGGTGTTCCGAAATCCAGGTGCACGGCATCTTACTCTCGAGAATAGTCACTCATACGAGTGCTGTATCCCATGACACATATTACAGAAGCTCGCTGGCAGCTCCCACAGCTTGGAGACTGTCCATCGCACTGCAACATAGCCGGGTCAGCTCGGTATGAGTCCAAACCCCAGAAGCGGCACTTACCCGTATCTTACGGCGTTGACATCTTTCACAAGCAAGCCGAAGCCGAGTATTCCGTCGCGAGTCCTTGGCAGACCGCCGCGGGCTGTCCGTACCGGCCATGATCCAAGACTGACACCTGATGCCAGGATGCCGATGGAGCTGGATGAAGACAAGGGAGACATGGCGGGGGATCTCCGAAAAATACAGATCAAGCGGGAAAACTCCGTCATGAGACACGAGTCAAAACGGCACGTGCCCGTCTCTCCTGGTCGCACTCCGCACAGTACGGCGTCTTTCCGAATCGTCACGATCTCTCTCACAGCACACACTCCTTTCGACAGCCCTCTTCCACGGCCATTCTTTTCCTACATATCCACCTTGCGCCTCGATCTACGGAGATAAAAGTGACAGTCCGATCTTCGTTTGTCAAACCTGTCTCACTTGCAAACAGCCCCCCCCGCGCGAGCCAAGCAATACCCGCACAGACAGGTCAAGCCCCCCAGGTTCATCACATCAACACGGTCGACTGCCCGATTCGGCAACGAAGGTCCGTCACTGGCGGATCCGCACAAACTTCATGGCTGCCCAAGACGAAGCCCCTGGATCCACCAAGATCTTTGTTGAAGCAAAAGAAGCCACTCGCTTCGTCGAAGCTATTCTGAGCGGAAACGGAGTGCCTGCCGAGAATGCCGCCAAAGTCGCCAAATACCTTGTCGCCGCGGACTTGCGAGGCGTCGATACCCATGGGTAAGCCCTTCCATTGGCACATGGCGCTCCGAAGCCCCTTGAAGACGACGATCTCCCCTCGCTGACAGGATGACAGTATCAACCGCATCCCATCATACATGGAGCGCATCCGACAAGGCGTCCTCAACCCAGCTGCGCAGCCCCAGCTCCGTCAAGTGACCCCTGTCGTGGCACATGTGGACGGCCAAAACGGCTTCGGTTTCGTCGCGGCCCACGCTGGCATGGCGGCGGCCGTTGAGTCGGCTAGAGTCTATGGTATAGGCATGGCGAGCGTCGCGCACTCGAACCACTTTGGCATGAGCGCCTGGGTCGTCCAACAGGCTCTGGATGCCGACATGATGAGCCTCGTCTTCACCAACTCGAGCCCCGCGCTGCCCGTCTGGGGCGGCCGCAGCAAGCTCATGGGCGTCTCGCCCATCGCGTGCGGCGCCCCCGGCGGCGACAGGCCCTTCATCCTCGACATGGCGCCTTCCGTGGCGGCCCGGGGCAAGATTTACAAGGCCAAACGCAGGGGCGAGAAGATTCCGCTTGTTTGGGCGCTCGACGCCGAGGGCAGGCCGACGGATGACCCCGAAGCCGCTCTTGGCGGCGTCATGTTGCCGATGGGAGGGCCCAAGGGATCGGCGCTGTCAATAATGATGGACGTCTTCTCGGGCGCCCTCTCAGGGTCTGCGTTTGCAGGGCGGTGTCACGAACCCCTACGATCCGTCCAAGCCGGCTGATGTTGGGCACTTTCTCATGGCTATCAAGCCTGACCTGTTCATGAGCCTCGAGGACTTTCGCGCCCGCATGCAGCACCTTTACGATCGGGTCGTCGGCTCGGAAAAGGCGGCTGGCGTGGAGAGAATTTATTTCCCGGGCGAAATCGAGCAGCTGACGCAAGAGGAGCGAGAGAGGACAGGCATTCCGTTTGTGGGTGCCGAGATTGAAGCATTGAATGAGGAGGCTGCGCGAGTGAGTGCCGAGCTCATAGTCACCAAATCTTGATAGTAATCGGCGTAATGGCATTTCGCTTTTACCGGCTAGATCCTTTCCGCATTTTCCCCTGCCATGGTAATTTTTGATGTCTGATAAGGCCAGTTCGCTTCGCATGTACATCAATGAGCTTGCAACGGGCGACGCTTGGGTTACATGGCGTCTGACGGTCAGATACACACATCCCCAGCCGTGGCCCGGAGGCTGTGAGCTAGACCAGATACTCTAAGCGGCCGTAATTGACAGTTGGTCATGAGTCGGGGGAGGGTAGCATTGGCGCTGTGCTCGGTCGTTCGCGAGAGCGGGCTTCATGCGAGAGGACGGCAAGTGAAGGGGCATCGTAGATCGCATGCAGATATGCCCAAGTGCCACAATTTCAATTGTTCAGGGCCTGGCAAATGTCATGTTTGTGATGAGCAGATCTTCGGAATAAGCAGCATGGGAAAATCTCGAAGCGAGGAAAGAAAAACTCCAGATGTATGCATGTTCATTATCGTTCGCTCGACTGACACTCTACGTGAAGTACATGCCACATGAGCCACACGACCCGATCCGGTAATGAAGTACAATATTGGCTTGGTATGTACAACCCTTCTCGCGCAAGGGCTTGGCTGACCCTCAACTCGCCCGAAAACCTGTCAAGATGCCGACACTGGCCTGTTTGTGGGCTTCCAAGGGGCGAGGAACTCGCAGCATTGCCACGGTTGACGCAACAGCTCGACCCGCCCGCGTCCAGACTTTGCTCGTTGCCCGGCATTTGCAGAACACCACAAAGTCAATCGGCGCAAACACTCGTCAGATCATGGGGCCCTCTTACGGCCGAGCTAGATCATCCCGTCTTGGGCTGGCCTGCACAAGCCACGCTGCGACCGAGTGAGCGATCTTTCACGCCATGAAGCGGATTACCTCCGCGCTCACATTTGACACTCTGTCAAATCAAGAGCTACAGACAAGTCAAGTAGAGGAACGAACTGCGAGGGCTCAAGGGGGGATCCTGAACTCAGACCCCGGTGCCTGGATTCGCGGCGTCGGAGCATAGTCCTGGTGGCCCAGGCCCCTCGAAAGCCACTCCACTGATGTTTTCTCAGTGTTCGGAACTGCTCCAGTCGTGGGGCCAAGTTCAGCTCAGCTTTGTCACATTATCCTGGCTGGTACCCGTATCACCAACCAGCAACGCGTTCAACCAGCCAGAGAGGCCAGCGAGTCAGGTTAGCTCCCGGGGAGTGGATGCCGCCGCGGCAGGATTTGGAAGAAGTTGGTGTCCCCTCTTGTCGCCCCGACCACCGGTGATGGACTCATGTGAGGGTAAGTAGCTCTATATTCGACAAAGGACGCGAGCGACTAGAGCCGTACGGAGCTCCCGGCTGAGAGGAGGGTCGCCTTAGCTAGACCACATCGCTTTTCCAGCACCTACGAGCCGCAGGCAAACACGCCCCTCTCTCTCCGGCCCCTCTCTCTCCGGCGGTTCATCAGCGGAGCATTGTCGATGCAAGGCTCCGTTCTTCTCTCCCACAAACTCTGAGACCCCTGCATGCGCATCGGATCCTGGGGTGCATCTACTAAGCGAGAATGAAACTTGTGTAATCTTCCCGAACAGGGGCTATTCCTTGATGCTGCTGTAACCACTGGGCTTGCAGGGCCATAGGGCCACCACCAGCCCGACATACCTCGGACATGACCAGTCCCTGCACGTCCACGGACCTCTTGGAAGATCTACGGGTACTTCTTGATTCTCTGATGTGACGTTTAGAAAAGGAGGGGTTGCGGCTGGATCAGGGGGCCTGATCTGGGTGGAGGACTCAATTTCTCATCATCTGTCACACGTCCAGATCGATCACATTCTGAGTCTCCTCCACGGCAGTTACGAGTCGTCAGAGCCGGACACAGACGTACGATGCCCCTCAGTCGCCGTTTGACCAAGTGGACTTCCACGTGGAAGTTCTACGGGCGGTGTCCCAGCCTGTGGGCCGAAGTTCCGACAGCCTGGTCGTTATTTTCAGCCCATCATCCGACCGCTGGGATGAGAAATGGAACGCGAAGAGTTGCGACGACTGACTCCCTTAGCGGCTCTTATCAAGCCAGGTATATCAGGACATGATGATTCGAGTGTCAAAGCGGGCATATGGCGTGGGCCAAAAGGCAGGGTCTAAGGCTGTTAGATCGCCTAGTGTCAACGCTGAGAGGGCTAGGCACTCCTCTTCTTCCGGGTCTGTGCCTGGCGCTAGCCACGAGGGAATCATGTCCTACCATCTTCTTCCACCCCTTGTCGCTGTGAATGGCATCTTACTAGCCAGGGATCTGTCGAAGGCCTCCTCACTAGCCTTGGCCAACGAGAAGACGGGCGAGAGAGAGGCTCCGGACATATGCACGAGGATGTCCTCTCGGGGAGCGCGCCGCTTGGCACATCTAGCTCGTCATAGACCTTGCATTAGGTGTGACTATGATTCGTATTGTGGTAACCACTTCTGAGTAAGCTAGGTCCAGAGTCAGGTAACAGGCAAGCCCCCAGCCTGTGTGGCCAGCCCTCTGCTGGGCGAAACGTTGATAAACAAAGAGATGGCTGCTCTTCTCCCGCGTGTATCTGGATGATCGACCGATCCCGACTCTCCTTCTCTTTGCTTTTTCTCGGCTCTGGGAACCGTACCGTTCCATCGTCGTGTCTCTTCCCGCCTATGACATCCCCCAGCTGCACCCTTGACAGCGAGTCTTTCCGTCATGGCTACTATGGCGGCTGTTCACTCTGGGCCTTCCAAGCCCAAGGACTCAGTGCTTGACCTCTGCACGAGGTCTACCCTTCTCGGCAACAACATATCTGTTCGCATGCTGGAGTTTCTCACTACTGTCAAGCATCAACCACATGGATTCCGCGAGCTTGCTGAGAGCTTCCTCGATGTTTGCCGTCACCTCTGGTCCATCGAGGCCGGCCTGGCTGAGGCCAGTCGAACCAACCAAGAGTTTTCCCTCCGACATGATTCAGGAGCTCGATTCCAAATTTCGCCAGACCAACCACGATTTCCAGGTCTTTGGACCACATGATGTTCGAGTTTCTCGAATATGAAAAAAAGGGCGGTCTTGGCAAGATCCACGCAGCTGGCGCATGATGTTCGCCGACAAAGAGATCAGCAAGATGCGAGACTCGCTGCGCAAGATTCGTGATGCCCTGAGGATGAGCGCCCTTGTGTTCCAGTGGTCTCTGGGCAACGGCAAGACGGATGAGTCTGTCGGCGGTGGCTATGCCAGCCTCGCCGAGGCGCTGGATCGCATGAAGAACAAGCAGGGGGCTGGCACTGTCCGCATCTCCAAGGCCAAGTCGTTCGAAGCTCAGACCGCCAACCATTCGCTCAAAGCGCTTCCATCACCACAGCCACCTCTGCCTGCTCTACCGGCTCTGCCCTCTCTGTCACATGCACCTCATCTGCGCGCTCACTCTCCTTTCGAGAAGATGTCTGCGCCGGACTTCGTCCTGGCGGAGAGCGGTAGGTCTTTGACACCGGAGGCTCGTCGACGTGCCTCGATCTCCAACAGGAGTCAAAAGAGCACCTCCGACCTCGGCGCCGCTGCCTATGGCATTGCACGCACCACGGATGCCAGGGGCATCGACAGGAGGCATGTTGCACAGGACGATCTCACAATCTCCGAGGTTGGTCAGTATGACCTGCCCAGCAGGCCCGCCTACTCCAGCAGACTCGGCCGTGATGATGCGACCATCTCTGATCATGGGCACTATGAAGCCCCTCCCAGCCGCATCTCGGAGCGCCGTCTACAGATCGGACTTGGCCGTGAACAGCATGATAGCGGCATGGCCCTCACAGTGGGTTCGAACGAAGATCCCCTGTACGATCTCCGCAGCATCGAAACCGGCAACACTTCCCCAACAAAGATCATCCGTCTCAAGGCTGACCCGATGAACATGCCTCGGTGGACGCCCCGCCACAGCACTACTTCGACTACATCTCTCAAGTCGGCGTTGGCGGCTGCTGTCCATTCAAAGAACCACAAACTCGTGGAACAGCTACTTGACCGCGGTATCTCTCCCGAGACTGGTCCTGATATTCACATTCTCGTAGATGCAGTTCTCGCTCTTGATGCCGAGAGCGTGAGGTTACTGCTTCTTTTCGGAGCCGACCCCAACACTGCAGACAAGGAGGGCGTGACACCCCTTTTCGCTGCCGTTGAGGTATCGGCTATTGAGATTGCCAGGACGCTGCTTAAATATGGCGCTGACGCGAACTTGTCTGCCGGCCCCGGACTGGAGTCGCCGCTCGCAACCGCAGTCATCGACCACAAGTACGAATTTGTTCAGCTTCTTCTGACCTATGGCGGCGACCCCAACCACATCATGGCCAACGGTAACACGGTACTCATTATATCCATGAGCAAGAATACCCCGAAGAGGCTTGTCGACCTCATGCTCGACTACGGCTCAGACCCCAACGAGAAGAACCGTGAGGGTAAGACTGCGCTCTTCGAAGCCATCTTCGCTGCCCGTCCCGATCTCGTCACCGCACTACTCGACCATGGCGCGAACCCCAACCTCCCCGGTCCGAAGCATATGCTTTGGCCGGCATCGTATCAACCAGAATGTCTCAAGCTGCTTCTCGCCCGTGGGGCCGATAGCAAGAAGGCCCCCGGAAGCATGGAGCTGGCGGTGAGCATTAACAACATCGAGTCGGTGCGCCTCCTGCTCGCCGCTGGTGTTGACCCCAATCTCAAGAAAGACGGCATTTACACACCTCTGTGCACTGCCATCCGCGACAACCGCCACGATATTCTTGCGCTTCTCCTCGCTAACAAGGCCGATCCCAACCTGATGGCGTCCGAGTACCCTGCTTTCAAGTGTGTCACGCACTTCCGCACTCACTTCCTGCCGCCGCTCGTAGCCGCTGCGCCAGCCTGACCGAGCCCAGCGCATCATAGAAACAGCCGTCCGCACGAATACATGAAGCGCTGCAGTGGCTCTCGATCAGGGCGTTGACCCCAACGCGCTGTTCAGAGGAGGGTCATACGCCGCTAACGACCGCCATTGCCGGGAACCGGCCCGAGCTAGTGGACGAACTCATCGCCCACGGCGCCAACCCCAGCGTCCGCGGCCAGGACTGGCCCATCTGCATGGCGGTGCGTCACCCGGACATGCTCAAGAAGTTGCTGCCGTCCGTCTCGGACCCGCGCGCCTTCAAGGGTCTCGTCGAGCGTGCCGTTGTTGCCAACCAGCTCGAGAGCGTCAAGCTGCTGCTTGCCGCCGGCGTCAGCGTCGAGGACCGCAACGGTGGCGTCTTCTCGCCGCTGACGACGGCCATTCGCGAGGACAACAAGGAGATCACGCGTTATCTGCTCGAGGAGGGCGGCGCCGACATCAACGCACCTGGTGAGCACCTGCCTATCGTCAAGGCTGTGAGGCGGTGCCGTGGCGACGACACGGACATTATTGAGATGCTGCTCGCCAAGGGCGCCGATGTCAACAAGATCTACCGTGGCTGGAACGCCGTGATGCAGGCTGTCGAGAATGGTGACGCTAAGGTGCTGAGGCTCCTTGTCGAGCTCGGTGGTGGCGCCGACATGGACGCTCAGGATGAGGGCGGCCGTAACATCCTTGAGATCGCGGCAGGACGGGGCTGGGAGGAGCCAGCCCGCACCATCTTGGAGAAGTACCCAAGGGTTTGAAAAAGGTGATGACATGCTTTCTGTTGATTTGTTTGTTTTCTTTTGTTGCAAAGCGTGGATCGATGTGCCTGGGAAGATCGCGAATACCAATACCAGACAACGGGGCGGCATTTTGAAGGAATGAACCTTTGGGTTCAAGCCAGTACGTGTGTGACTTGGCAGTTGGAGTCTGAAAACAGGGATACCAAAGATTTATCTATTTTATTCCATCAGTTCATAGAGCTTGCTGTCCGTATTTAATAATGCTGGCAACTGATTTGCGGGTTTCACAAGCTGGTAACATCGCTCTGTAGCGGAATGAAGAAGTCGCCCCATTCTATAAAGTAAGCTACCATCCATTATGGTCCATTGGTTCCGCTCTGCCAACTGAGTAAGTCCTACCATTTCATTCACCTTCATCGCTGCCGTCTGGTTCCTCCCTGTTCCCCTTGCTCGGGTCGAAATAGGGTCTCAAGAGCTCGTAGGACCTCCCAAAGTGGTATGACTTGGCCCATTCCCATGGAGTCTCAACTTCCTTGCCACCAGGAACATATTCATTCATGAGGAGCTTCAGGCACGCTTCTTCGCCCTCCTCGGCAGCAACACAGATGGCGTTCCTGATATGCTCTTGTCTGAGAGCGGCCGATTCGCACTCGGCTTTCAAAAGGAGTGCCACGATGTCCTCGTTGCCGTGCTCAGCAGCGACAACAAGTGGGCGGTCGTCGACCCAGGCATCAAGGTAAGCATCCGCCCCGTGATCTAGCAGCCTTTTGATGAAATTGTAGCCATCGGTGCCGACTCTGTCAAATTTGCTTCGATTATGCAAGGCACAAAGAATGGTTTTGTCATCGTCCCTGGGAGATATCTTACGAGCGAGAAGAATCTCGACCATCGCTACGTTGTCGGCTTCTGCTGCTCTACCCATGATTGTGAGGTTGTCAACCTGATCCCTGGCGCTCGGGTCCCCGCCAGCATCAAGCAACAGCGTCAAGGCTTTCGTGTTTCCGTCCGCGGCTATGAGGAGGAGAGGTGTCATGCCGTTGTCATCTCGAGCATTGACATCTGCGCCTCTCTCCAAAAGTAGCGAAATGGCTTGTTCGTGTCCTCTTTCAGCCGCAGCCATTAAGGGCGTCCACTGCATGTTGTCTCGGGGATTGACGTCGGCGCCTCTGTCCAACAGAAGTGTGGCAATCTCAATATTGTTGTTACCGGCTGCATGAGAAAGTGGCGTCCGTCCATCCTCGTCTGTAACATCGACATTGACACCGTGGTCGAGGGTTCTTGTGACAACATCTTCACAGCCATCGGCTGCAGCCAGCGGGAGGGCTGCTTCGTCATTCAGATCTCCGTAGGGATCAACTATCTTGGCTCTCACACTTGCCAAGGTGTCTGACAGAATCTGGGCGGCGTCTCGCGGATCGTGAAGCGCCTCGTGATCCGCTAATTTGCGAGCAACGCCCTCATGGTCGTTCTCCAGTGCGTGTGCCATTGGCGTCATCCCTTGGTCATCCGCAAGACTCGCCGTGGCGCTGTGGAGACACAGCAAGTCAACCATGCCATCATGACCGGCTTCTGCCGCAAGCGACAGCGCGGTCTGCCCGCGTCTCCAGTCGCAAATATTCGGGTCTGCTCCGCCCTCGAGCAAGAGTTTCAACATGACAATCTTGCCGTTGCGAGCGGCTACGATCAGCGGCGTGTCGCCGCTCATGTCAGGCGTGTCTGTGTCGGCGCCCGCCCCTAGCAAACGCCTCACGACCGACTCGTGGCCTCCTTTTGTCCCGGCGGCAGCCACCAATAACGGCGTCTTCCCGCCGGCTGGTTCGGGCGTGTTGGAATTGGCGCCATGCGAGAGCAGCAGCTGCACGGCGGCGTCATGGCCTCTGAGAACAGCCCAGTACAGGGGCGTCCGTTGATATTCGTGGTCGCTGACATTTACGTTCGTGCCCTTCTCGAGTTCTCGTTGCAGTTCGTCCGTGTTGCCGGATGCAGCGGCAATGATGATGGTGTCCTCCCAGGGACAAAGTTCTGCTTCCATGGTATGATGTGTTCACAGCAGGCCTAACTCAACATTTCTCTTCGTGAAGATCGTAAATCATGGAATGGACGGACGAAAATCGCGGGTTTAGATGAGTCCATCAGGCACAAACCGCTGTTATCCTGTGCTCACTATCATATCCAAGATGTGCAAAGGACACCCATCTTCGGACATTTCCTCGCTCTGTCGTGAAAGGGCTGTGTTCGCTAGTTAAGCGTCCGATGACCGGAAGTCGGCTGATGCCCCACCACGACGAAGATCCTCGGTGATCTAATCGGTAAAGCACCCAACGCTAGGATGCTCCCTACAACGCAATTCGCTCTTCTCTAATTACATCGTCGTCGAACTCTGATTCAGTTCAGGCGCGCTTCGGTGGGAGATGGATGACCTAGTCATGGTCAAGGTCCCGAGGTCGTGACCCCTGACCCCTGCGCCTGGTAGTGTGATTCGTAACTCTGCCGATACAAACTCAAATATCTGTGTTGGTGCCTGGAATTTGAATGACAGACTTTCAACGGAGACGAAGTCTACCATTTCGAACAGGCACCACTGTGAGAAGATCGTGACAGCCAGTTCTGTATTTGGTTACATAACGCTTGATCAGTGTATCGCTCGCTAGGCCAGATAGATTACGCGTTGCCTAAGTTTTCTTTCTCGAACTGAGTAAAAGAATTTTCAAAGAGGCATGAAGAAGCTTGTGCTACAACTAAATACAGTGATACTGACACCAGGAAGGGCTGTGTTTGATTCCGGCTAACCAAGGAAGCCATGATACCGATGAGGGGGCACAACGGTGAGCAAGACCTTGTCGATCATTCTTGTCAGTCTTAAGCTCGATTCAAAGATCCCTTTCCATTCGTGTTACCTCGATCGTCAAGTGTGACTTCATGGTCGTTGGCTGCGGGAGCTGCGACGTTTTACAGTATCGAGTCAGCAGCGCCAAGGTGTGATAACTCCTTGATAGGGCGATGTGGCTTCGACGTCAGTCATGTCAAATAGGGCAGTATACACGTGTTTAACGTCCAAGAAGAGAGAATAGAGGGACTTTGGATAATTGCTTGCGATCTTCAAGCCTCTATCACTAGGAGAGTGCCTCGATTGAGTGGGAAAACCAAGGTGCGTGTTGGTAGGGGCCAGAGAATCCAGGAGCGACTATGGAAGCTCGTGGTCTTCCGCGCAGATGAACTGGAGGCCTCGGGAGCAGGTCATCAATACGAGACAAAGTCATTCAGGGCACCATTGGCCGCGAAATTGCGTGCGGCCTTTTATCCTGTGGCTAGGAAATAGAATGATTTATCCATGTAGCATTTTCATAACCTGCAGAATCAAGGTTCTGTCGTTCTGTCGACGACATGATCATACCGTGAGCACCGAGAGGGAACTTCACCTCACAATACAAAGTTGGTGACAATACTTCCCAAATCGACGTACGTATCACACTGCATCTCCACGACAGTGACGACACGCAAGAGGCCAGGCTCCGATACACTTTTTCACGCCTTGTATAGAATGAGAGTATATATACGTAAAGCCGAGGCGTAGCAGCCCGGCAGTCCCAAAGTCCTCCAAGCCAACAGCCCGCCCCCAGTAAGTTGGCAAGGCGCGGCATCATGAAAGCCAAACAACACCAGTCGATGGAACTAGGTATATACGACTGCCTCCAAGCATCTCCCCAAACACCATCGTCGTCTCACCAGCATCGCCGCATGCTCGGAAGCACGCCTTGGATCGATGACACGACAACAAACCGCAAAACTCGACCACGTCCGGACCACAAGCAGCAACACGTCAATTGCTCTATCGGATCTCTCCCTCCCAGCCCTCCCAGCTCTGGTGCTTTCACTCGTGCTCCTATCGTTCATTCATATGCACATTGCATCTTTGACGTCTGCACCGCCTCCACCAATTCACTACACTCCGTAGTCTATGCCATCTGGCGTCACGTTGAAGGGGCGAACCTTCCAATCTCCCACTCACCTCAGTCCACAGAACGCGCAACAATCACCCGCAACAGAAAGTCTAAAAGAGACAAGCCCCATGATATGACATGAATCAAGCCCTCGTTTCCGTCACAGTGACCGTGACCGAAGCAGTGACGGG